GAGCACCGCGAAACCAAAAGACGGCGTCTAGTGTGGCACCATCCGAGACGTTGGAGTTGACGTTCTTCACGCGGCGCGTGAAAAGAATGTTGAAGTCGTCGTGGTACACGCCAAGGTAGACGCAAAAGAGAGCGAGGAGCACCGACTTGCCAATGCCTGGCGACCCCGTGAGGAGCAGAGGCAGCCACAACGCGTCGGTCGTATCGCGCGGGGTGCGGCCATCGTCTGCGTCCAGAAACATGTCTGGACGACGTTTGCGTTCAAGCGCAGCAAGCACAGCGCTGTCGTCAGCATCGGGCAGCGTAAAGTTGACGCGCAAGAGGTCCCACGCCATCTTCATCTCCTTGCGGACGTACACACTTGGAGGAAAGCCGCCATAGTTCTCAAAGAGCTTGCGGAGCGTGATCGTCGACAGCCGCGCGCCGACGGCAATGGTCTTGAGGTCGGGCACGTCGGCTGTCGTGAGTGTGCCACCGTCTTTGGAACAAATCCAACGCGTCACTTCTTGGCGCTTTAGACGCTTTGACGGGCGATCTAAGCCGTGGCACGTTAGCGCAGCTACTGCAGAGAGAAATAGATTACTGTGTTCTGTCGCGTCGTCTGGCTCGCGTGGGCGTGTGACTGCGACAGACCCTCGCAGTACTCTCGTGTCTTCCCGCCGGCAGTGTCGGTACGCCGCATGTGCAACGTCGAGGATATGGCCGACCGACAGCTCGCATTGCATTTCGTTGTCGAAGGCGCACGGAAGAAGGATGTTGTTCGGCGGCGGCAACCGAGGCGACAGCCCAAGAGTCGCGTAGTCGAGCGCTGCGCGACGGTCGCTGGCGAGAAAGTGGCCAACGATCGCCGCTGTCCCCGTCTCGACTGTCGTTACGGGGTGCGACACCAGCGGCAACCCTTCAAATGGCCGCAACGCGTAGCCGGCGAGGGTCAGCACGAGCAACGTCGGGTCGCTCAAGGCGACATAGACCTCGCCCATCTGTGTCATGACGACGAGCTGGTCGCCAACGCCGTCTCTCGGGGTGCACTGGACGACGACGCCGTACGTCCACGTCCCTGCCCGCGCAAAGCAAACATACGACAAGCGGTAAGTCTCAAGACCCGAAAGCGCTTCGGCCTTGGAGACGATGCGCTCGCGGATGCCAATAGCGACTGATCTGCCGAGTGTGCGAGCGGAAATGTGGTCGGGTTGGGCGGGCTGCGACGCGATTGTGCGGCCCGACAGAATCGGTCGAGCGTGCCAGGCGAGGTCGATACACTGGCACTCGGCGTAGACGTAGTGCTCCGTGTCAAAGACGTTTGGCGGCAAGATCGCGTAGCAGGTCGGCGCGCTCCAGAGACTCCAGACATTGCCCATGACCACGGACCAAGGATTGCCAAATGGCTCAACGATCTAAACGCTAAACGACGCACGATTGGCTGATACAAATTGACTCCACCAATCAATGAACGGTAGGCTCGGCCAAAGTGCTGAGAGTCTGAAGAGAATTCACATCCGTCTTCCATGAGATCTCTACCGGTACTAATGCAGTTCCTCGCTGCGATTGCCAAGGGTTTGAAATACTCTTGAGACGACTTGTATTCGCGCCATTTTTTTCTTTGTAGTTTTGAACTGAGTCTATAAACATGGCAGCAATTCCCTGGGTAAGCTCCGCCGAAGGGTTCTACGGTAGTTCTGAACCGGTGGGGTCGCCGTTGACGAGCTCATACGACCAATTGCCACACGGCATTTTGATGCGATGGCCGAGCTCAGTGCAGTGGTACAAGTGTTGAGCCCAGAGCCTATACCACACCAAGAGCGTCGTACAAATGCGATAAATCAACATGAACCAAGCTATCAGAAGACCCCGCGCTGCGTCATAGTACAGCGTCGCTACGGCTATTAAAGCAGAATCCATACGAGAAAGCGACGACGATATATCATCGCCAAGTACGAGCCAGAGACACGAGCGGCCAAATATAAAAGAGCAAAGAAGCGAGCGGAAACACAAACCTACTTGGGGTTGCATCGTCGCATTGGTTGTCACCGTTCGGCAGAGCAGGTCGATTGGTGGCTCGGTGTACGAGACGAGTCCTGGGAGTCCCAGCAGTGTATTCGAAATTCACGCTAGTGTGTCTATCGGCGGCTCGTGCATCGAAGTAGCGATCGCATCATTTGAGTGTTGGTGGCACTAAATGTATCGATGATAAAGACACCCTATTTCGGTAGCGTTGCGTTCGAGTAGTGTGCTGGTACCTTGTGAGGTACGCAGCGTTGAATTCCGTGCAATTGGCTAACGTCTCTGGTGTCGTAAATGTATGTACCTTGCCACGGCAAGTACTCGGAGCGGTACGCCGCGAGTGGCTATGTAAGAGGCTGCATCAACCGTAGAGAGAGACCGTCCAGAGCCTACGAACGAGGAGACGTGGCAGAGCCAGATGATGCTATCAGTGAGGCCGAAGCGGTGTCGATGTATGCGGTAGCTGCCTTTGAGTACGTACACGGCGGCGATTCTGGCGCGCCGCATCGCTCTATCACGGGTCGACACCAAAGTGCCTGGGCTATCGACAAAGCGTGTCGATCGATAGACGAATAGATAGAGTTGACTATTGAGTTGACAATGAACATTTTCATACACTATGGACCAACTACAACAACGACGCAAGATTTCGCGCGCCGGCCGCTTCCCGCGCCGACGCGTAGCACACGCGCAGTCCTTCAATTTCGGTCAGAATCCGATCCGTCGCGACCGTTGCTGGTGGTGTCAGAATGATGTAGACGGCGTCAAAGCCGGCGAGG